TCTGCAGAGGAACAACTAGCTAACGAAGTTGTACAATGGTGGGCGATAGAAAGCTACGGTTCCTCAAAAAATGTTGAGTCGTTATCTGGATAAAAAAGAACAGCTCAACGGATTCTCGAACCCAATAACTACGGAAGTGTACTGGGACAGCTTGGATTGTTGCAGAGCAGACTCGGCAATGACTTTAGAACTGAAGAGAAAAATACCGAAACAATCAAAGCAGATCTCGAAAATGGTTTCATCGGGAAAATGTCTCAAAACGATATTGCCGAAAAAATGAAAACAAAAAAATTTGGTATCTACCACATCATCCCATTTTCACCCACATAAGCTAGGCAAAGATAGAAGAGTTTGCAATGCAGTATCGAAGTATCAAGGTACCTCTTTAAACGATAACTTAATACCTGGACCTGATTTGTTGCAGAAACTTGTTGGGACTTTGTTCAAATTTCAATAAGGAGCAGTTGCGCGCACAGCCGACATCAAACAGATGTTTCTTCAAGTAAAAAAAAAGAAGATGACACTCACTGTCTGATATTTCTGAACTCAGATGTTTAAAACGAAAATGAAAGGATTGTTATTTACAAATACAATCGACACATATTTGGTGCTAGAAGTTCATCAACTTGTGCATACTATGCATTAACAAGAATTCTTGAATTGGATAACTTATATCAGTTGTCAATACTTTTTTACAACATGGTTGATTTGATATTTTCATCGAATGACCAACTGGAGACTGAGAACCTCAAAAATCAAGAAGTTGAAATCTTGTCAACAGGTGGTTTCAACTTGACGAATTTTTCCAAAGCAACACTGAAGAATTGTCTGAAACCACCAAAGAAAAGGAAGCGTCGATACTGGGACTCGGTTGGAGGACCGATTCAGACACTTTAGCAGGAGTTCGATTGAAGGACAACCCAGTTGAGGGATTCTCTCAAGTAGACCTTCTTAGCGTAGTTTCCTCATTATAAGACCCATTAGAACTTTTGTCACCTTTTACAATTCGGTTCAAAAATGTTTTGAAGAAGTTATGGAAGCAAGATGGAGTGCATTGTAATAGGATAATACCTGAAGATATTGCAGAAGAAGATGATTAATGGAAAAAAGAATTCGTTTAAATCAAAGATATTGCAATCCCAAGAATATACTTCAATTTCGTACCAAATTAACCAACCCTCTTGTTGCAGACGCGTCACTTGAAGGCTTATGCGTGGTTGCATACTTCTGTACATCAGGTGGAGATGAAATTAAAGGTTTATCTTTTGTTGTTGTCAAAACAAGAGTGTCACCAAAGAAGCAATTGAGCATATCAAGGCAGGAGTTGCAAGCAGCAGTGATCGCTACCAGAATCAAAGACAACATACTGGAGTTGCACCAAAGCATAGTAAACGAAGTATACATGTGGTGGGACTCTAGTACAGTATTGGCTTGGTTGTCTTCTGTAAAGAAGTTACTAGTTTTTGTGGCGAACATGGTCGCGGAGATCTTAGACTCTACAAGTGTCAATTCATGGAGACACGTGAAAAGAGACTTGAATCCAGCAGAACTAGGAACAAGTGGTCTGACAAAAAATCAGATACTTCATAGCACTTGGTTACATGGGCCGACCTGGATCAAAAGTGAAGATCAGTGGCCAAAGAAACTCAAAATCAAGGATATTGAATTCGAAGAAGTCGTCGAAGAAACTTGCAATTAACTTACAATCATTGAACCTTTGGCCACTTGCCATAGGTTCAGTATTTTCGAAAGACTTCAAAAAAAAACAATTGCTCATTGCATAAGTGCAGTAGAAAAAAACAAACCGAAGAACTTGATCATCACAGCTGAAGAAAATATGAAAGCAACAAAAGCAATCTTCAGATCAGTTCAACAAGAGTTTCAAGAAATCAAAAATTGAATCCATTCCTAGAAGCTGATGGACTACTGCGAGCAAGAGGCAGACTATTGAAGTCAAATGACTCGACATTCGCAAAAAAGCATTCAAAATTATTGGATGGCAAGCATCATGTCACAAGGTTTCTTCCGAGAAACGAACACTTAGAAAATCATCACGTGAGAATTAAACAACTCAAAAGTATGGCTGAAGAAAACTACTGGATTTTCGGTGTCTGAAACAAGCTAAGATCTTTAAAAACCAACTGTGTTCCTTGTCAAAAAACTTCTCAGAAAAGAGAACACCCTATGATGACAGATCTACCCGAAATTGGGGAGGGTTCTCATGCTTGAAGGGCCGAATGCTTGAAAAATTTCAACCAATCAAAATCGCTAAGCGTTTCAATTGGTTGAATGCCTTTCTCACAAAATCGAAGTCAATATTAACAGAAAATGTATTACATCAGTGGAAAATAATCGAAAATATTACAAATTGCGGGTTACAACTGCATTACTGTTCAGATAATCATCAAGAGTAATGAGTTCAAAATAATAAGAATTTTTCAGTCTTGAAAACTTATCTACTTATTATATAATCGGTCAATAATAACACTAATGGCCGGGATTTATTTTCTTACTTTGAGATTTTTGTGATTTATTTTGAGATTTTGAATACTCAATTTTGATTGGCTGAAAGCAAGCTAAAATTAATTTCAAGCATTCGGTCCTTCAAGCATGAGGGACGCCTACCCCGAAATTAGAATGGACTTCAGTAGACCACTTAAAAACACCAGAGTGGACTACTTCGGACCCATCAATGTAAAGGTAAAAAGATCTTCGGAGAAAAGCTGAATATGTCTGATGACTTGTCTTACCACAAGAGCGGTACACTTAGAAGTTGCACAAGACCTGTCGACAGAAGCAGAGTTGAATTGTTTGTTTCGGTTTATTGCGCGAAGGGGCAAACCACATCTCATCATCAGTGACAATGGAACAAACTTCGTGGGTACCAATAATCACCTGAACGAGCAGATGAAGGAATGGAAAATAAAAAAGCGATACATTGAGTGGAGGTTCAACCCCCCCCCCCCACAATGCTCCACACTTTGGAGGAGTTTGGGAAAGACTTGTGAGAAGTGTCAAGAAAACCATGTCTAATGTCTTAGAAACACAGAATGAAGACATCCTAAAAATCACTGCACTATTTGCATCGTGGAAGTAACCCTAAATCAAAGACCACTTACAGCCGTTTCGGATGACATTGAAAGTTATAAGGCGATAACCCCAAATAATTTCTTGGATCGTCTGGGTCAGAAACGTTTCGAATCTACTCAAAGGACTAAAAAGGTCACGAGAGGAACCTGTAAGCAGCCCAAACAATTGAAAATCAAATCTGGCACAGATTTCAAGAGGACTATACTCCGATGCACTGAATAAGAACTAAATGGTTCAAAGAGTCAAAGAATGAGCTTAATGAAGGAGACCTTGTGTGTATAATTGACCAACAAATATTCACAGACAAGTTTCAATTAGGAAGAATAGTGAAATTAAACTATAGTGAAGATGACATCAATAGATCAGCAGAAGTGAAAACGAAGACTGGAATGTAAAAACGACCCATAAATCGACTCGCCAAAATACTAAAAGATGATGAAAAATTAAATTGAAAGTTTGAGTCAACTATCGTTTCCACTTTTGAAATGGCAAATTCCGCTGTAGTTTCTGCCGATAGTCATGTTATTTGATTAGAAAATTGTTATAATACCTACTATTCAGTTATTCCCAACGTTACATTTATTTATTTCTCGGGCTTAAAAACTACAAACTGGCAGACCCGAATTGATTTGAAAACCCTTCGAAAATTTACTCATGTTTTTATTATGTGCGGAGGTAATGACGCATGTGATCATTCACATAAGGATATACGCTCAAAACGAGTGGGCAAAATTACCCGTAATATGAAGATCTTTACTGACCCAATACCCAAATGGAAAATACTCGTTGTGTCAGTTCTTCCACGGGAATCATGGGACATTGAAATAAGCATCCTAAATACCTTCTTGAAGAAGAAGTTTAGACTGAACTTCGTACAATTGCACGTGCATCCCGATTACAAGTCGTACGCAGACAGAACGCCTTAAAATGAGGGTATTTATCACACAATGCTCACACGAGTCTCTTATTAGACGAAAATAACTGTGTAATAAATTTCAATAACTTACTGATCTTGTTGGGGCGGTGGCATTCAACTTCGAAGATTTACCCATTTCATTGTCTTTTGCACAAATTTTTTGCTGAATTTTTATTTGACTTATCAGATATTGTATTTAATAATAAGAACATTTTGGCTTTTGATGCCAAAATAGGGCCGACTATAAAGGCCTCTGCGGGCGATTGGCTTACCCATTTATTTGGTTCATATTTTAAATTCAGTTTCTTATTTGAAAAGCCAAATACGTTATTCACTTATAACCTTACGCAGCATCAAATATGACAGAAGTTTATTTTTTTACGTCGACAAGCTACAGAAATTGGGATAATCGGGCGACGCAACTTATGGGCAAAACTGAAACTGAGCCAAGATAAACCACCTACAAATAGCCAGAATTTACGGTTTTTGCAAGAAGATCTCTAAAGCAGTTATGATGAATTGAAAAAAAACTAAAATGGAGATTTGCAGAAAATATCTGCAGAGAAGTTGCAGAAAACCAGAACAAAGTAAATTTAAAATTAGCAGATTTGAAAAGAACATTTGGAAGTTCGCATAACTTTGACAATTGGAAATTTCTCATAATTCTCAATTGAAATTTCAAATTTCTATCATTTAAATACTTTATGATTTTAATATTTTATTACGTTTTATTTTAAGTTGGAGTGGCAAGGAAAGGCAATTATAAGTTGACTTAAAGTAAGTTTCTTTTATTATATTATCAGAACGCTCCGTTAAATTTCCGAATCGAATTTTTTTTGAAATAACGATTTTTTCCTCCGTTTTTATATTATCCTCTGAATTAAAAAAATTGGCTGTAAAATCTGTTGACGCTGAGACAACTTTGAATGACAAGCCGTGAGAGTAGAAAATTTATTTAAACTACAAAAATATTCAAGTCAAATACGCAACTTACCTCCATCTAAGCGCTCGTTTCCTTCTCACAATTAGTGGAATCAAATTTTAGTTCAACAGAACAGAAAAGTGGTGCCAGTCGCTGATGAGCGAACACAGGTAAATGTGAGATAAGTTCTAAGTGTTTATGACTTCGGATCGATTTGGGTTTCTAGTTGACAAATGGCGATGGTTTATGATAATGAACTTTGAGCTGCTAATTGGTGATGATAAAGTAATGAAAAAAGCGGTCAGAAAATAGTTTTTTTTAGACTTCTGAATTCAATTTTTCTCATTCGTATCTGGCAAATGTCACAAACAAAAACATCAGAGCTTTTTCTTT